ACCACGTGCAGCTGTTCTCATGCAGACCTGAACCACCGTTTGACACTGGTTTAATGAAGCCCAGTACAGTAGCCACTCACCTGATGGTTTTTTGAATAATCCTTGTTTATTTTTGCCGTGTGCCCTGGCTTTATCAGTAAGCTGGACTTAAGATCAGTATCTTCTTCAGCACATCCACGTCTAGCTATTTATTTATTTTATTGTCTGTATTGCAGGTCATCCTTTCTGTGTTCTCTCTTGATTTCTGTTCCTGCGGGGTGCTGATCATTTCTCTATTATTCTGCTCCCCGTTGTCTCAAAGTCTAAAGGCTTAGATAACTTCCCCAGCTACACAAAGGTAGCAAGCAGAGGAGCTGACTGAAGGTCCCCCCTTTTAACTTTACACAATGTAATCTGTAGTTTGAACTGTCATTATTATTATTATGGATTAGACAAGATCACCATGGTTATTGTGTTGGAAGTTTTGGCATAGCACAGGCTGTAGGACTTCCCTGAATTTATGTCTGTTCGTGAATACTTGCTTTCCTTGGCCACAAAGCTGTTCATTTTGTCCTGCGTTGTTTTTGAGAATGATTAACTTTCTGTAATGAACTAAACTCTGCTATCACAGTGACTCTTTAGGCAGTCCCTGATTGTATTTGCTAATGTCTCCGTCCCAGCTCTGAGCACAACTAATGACTGGAAGGAATGTTGCCGCTGTCCTTTGACCCTTTCTAACAGTGCTGTGATATCTTTAGTGTTTCCCTTGGTAGGGACAGTAGTGCAGAGTTTGTTTAAACAGCTCATACGAACAATAATGCTCCTTTTAACAGGGTAGCAGCCTTCGAATATCAAGCTGCAGAATTAAGGTACTGTAAGAAAGGTGAACCCACCGCTTTCTGCTCTGAGCAGACAACTGACAGCTGTTACAAGGGGCTTGTTTTTGTCTTTGGAGTTCAGCTAAGTTGTTTTACCAGTCTCTCCAAAAAGATGGCCAAGTGTTTTGGCTAACAAACAAATATGCTGTTTAGAAAACACCAACCATTTCATTGTTTGCAATTTTCGGTGCCATTTGACTGTGTAGTCTTGTAATTAGATGGTGTAAAGTGCTTAACATGTCGCACAAATATGTCAAAATGCATTAACAGCACAAGTGTTCTTTGCTGCTTTCCTAAAGACATTTCTCAATATGTCGTACTGGAATCCACCTCTTGTCGTTATTTATAAAACTGCAAAGAAGTCAAGATCACCAGGAATTAGATGATTAGCGTGAGACTTGCTTTCTGTGCTAAGAATATATATTCTCATGATAATGTTCAGAGTGAAGCATACAAATCCCGTCTCATCCCAAAGGAGAAGACAGCCTGGAATAAAACCCAACAAATTATGTTTTTCATATTCGCTCAGATCAACTTTCTGCTGCTGCTTCTTAATTCCCATTCCGTTCAACTGCCTCTTTGCAAACTTCGGAGTCACCTCCAGACTTTGCACTGGAATGCCTCTGGGGCGTTCCGTTGCTGTTCAATGGTGTTTGGCTGTGGTTGTGTGAGGAGGCCAGCCGCCCACCTGCTTCTGGGCAGGATCTTTTCCATAGAACAAACATCTTACCTGGCTAGGCGACAGTTAACTAAGTCATCTCCTAATAAATTAGAAGATAGGACTTGTGGATTCCTTAAAGCCCATCGCCTGCTGAATCAGTATTCCCACAAACGTGTGCTTGCCTGGAAGCCGTGTTCATTCCAGTGCTATGGCCCTGGTGATCTAGGCAGGCCTGGGGACCAGGTGGCTTGAGGAGACACTGCTGGTGGACCTGCAGGTGAGGTCAGCCGGTACCCTTTCCTGCCCGCTTTCTGCTCCTGTGGAGACGCGAGTGCTGTTTGCAAACTGCAGTGATGCTGTCGCTGCATCCTGCACGTGCTTTCCTGCTCGGTGCAAGCTTGGGTATTACCGCCGTACACAGCGTCAGCTTTGCCGTTTCAAAGATCTAATCTGATAATAGATTGGTCTACATTTGCTGCGTTGCCAGAAAAAGACATATGTTGTCAGGCGGTCGAAGTCAGCAACAGAGCTGAAGTGGAAATGTGCTGAAACACGAAGAAGGCAGAAATCCAGAAGAATCCATCCGAGGTTTGGCTATTAGGAAACTGAAAATATTGTCTTCTTACAAACATGCTTTCCACACGTACTTGGAGAAATACTGTTTGCCTGATGTCTCAAGATGATTAAAGGGCAATTCTTTTCCTTTCTTGGCTTTGGTGTGATAACAGAAGATGCTGTTGGCATTCAGCTTATCGAGAACTGGTGAAAGAGCAAAGAGAAGTGATTGGAATAACGTGGATGGAAGAGGCGTGTGTAGTGTAGTGCAGGAGAGAAACACGGCATTGAGCTCCTGCTGTCGTTGGCGATTCAAGACACAGTTTTTGAGTTGCACTCCCAGTGGAAGTAGATCTTTATGTATCTATGCTGAGGCACAGGTTTTAGGGTGAGGACTCGAGTTGTGGCGGTATGCAATGCTAGGAAAATTTCCCACGCTGTATTTTGTCACACAGTGCTTGCAATTCTGAGTTTTCATCTTGAGCTTTTCCCTGGGAACAGGAATGGCTTGAACAGAGTGACTGTATACAGAACCACTGCTCTTCTCTGTGCTGGTGGAAAGACTTTGCTTTTAAATTGAGGTGCCTCTAGGCTGCTGGCCTTTAACAGAATTGCTGGGAGGTGGGGGTTGGGCTTTGAGCTGGTGTATAAAGATGTAAAGTTTTGATGTGTGTTCTGAGCCAGCAGTTATGGGATTTCATCTGCACATATCCCTTAAATATCATCACTTTTAGATCTGTGCTAAGAAAATGGCATCTGTCACAACCATACTTTTTCTGCTGGGGTCAATGTGCATACATAGATGTCTGTTACTGTGTTGGAATAAAATTTCTCTATAAATGCCATCACAGATCAGGAAAGATTTTTTTTTAAATTAATATTAATGTTTCCTCCTTTAAGACCTCTGCCTTCTCCCTAGTCAGCATGAGTGTGTCTCAGTGGGGTAGTAGTAGCAAAGAATTTTATTTCAGTGACTTCTCCAGGGAATTCATCCACTAAATAATAAATACTTGTACCTCCTGGGAGCCACCTGGAGCAGCGTCCCAGCAGTCTTTTTCACCCAGCTTGGGCCACCCATCGCACAGGTAGTGCAGTTAAGAACTGAGAGTAAAAAATTGGGGCTGCTGCTGCTTCCTGCTTCTCTTGACACTATTCCTGGAGAGAGCTGGGTTCGTGACCGTGGCTGTCACCGTAGCTATTACCAATGACACAAGATAATGAAGTTATGGTTTCTGTTGTGGTGGGGCCACGTCTGTATTTTATGGCGATACGGCTGCGCTAGGAGCCAGGGTGTCACGCTTGGTTGTTGTGACGGATGCTTCTAGGAACACAGGGCGGCTCTCTAAAGGCGGGCTGTCTGGTACTTCCCTTGTACGTGAACTGCTGTTGGTTGCACGGCAGATCGCTGATGGAGCTGCGTGTTGCTTCTTGTCCTTTCCCTGATGAGGTGAGGGGGAGGGCAGCAGCCATCTCATTTTTCTCCCTGTTGTTTTTGGAGGGGATGGCTGCAATCTTGGTTCTTTTCGGTCAGTCAAAAGAACGCTCAAGCCAGTTTTTAGTCTGATTCTCTAATCAAGTGAATGTTTCTATTTTTTGATGTCTGGAGTCACCGGTGTGGGGTTCCTGGCTTTTAAAGTCCTGGAGACTTTGGGACACAGATGCTCTGCGGTGCTGAGAAGCCCTGGTGGTCCCTCGTTGTTTTTTTTTGAACCGTGCTCCGTGCAGGAATTACACTGTGAACACAGCGTGAAATCTGGGGGCCTTAAGAACAATCTTTGTTTGTCCAGTATTTAAAATATTTTCTGTAGGTGGCCTCAGATCAATCTGATAGTATTGCAGTGTAACTGCAATATCCTGCTCTTTGGTCCTTATAGACACAGGCTCTTCCTGTTGCACCCAATTTAGCTTCTCAGAGGGAAAAATTTCTCTTGCGGTTTGGGCAGCAACCGCAGTCCGTGTGCTCTGGCGTGCTCCAGGAGGGACAGGAGCCCTGCGCGGGTCGGGGGAGCTGGCCGGCACTGTGCTGGTGCTCGACACGTACGTGCTCTGCTGAAGGTGAACGTGGGATTGCAAAATGTTTTGCAAACCTTCCTGCTGTTGCTGGGGAGCAACTGGATAGAAGCTGGAGAAAATCTTTTTTTGAGTAGACGTTGCTGTATGTATGTTCGGTGCGTCAGGGCAAAAAAATAAAAAAAAATCAACTACATGTGTTAAACCTTAAGGCTGAGGCTTTTCTTGTTTGTGCGTCTGCAGTGGAAGAATGCCGTGTCACATTCGCTTTGTATCTGGTGTTAGGGGTGACATTGTGCTCAGCGCTGAAGGAGATGGAGAGGCTGTGCCGGCATGGCCTGCAGTTTCCAACGGTGGGCATGGAGCAGAACACCGGCAATAGATGGAGACGGGGGAAAGCTCCACCTTGTGTTACGTGCTCGATGGCTGCTGCCACTTTCTCCTGGAGCTCCCCAGGGAAGGGAGGCATCTGCTGAGGGGGGGGGGCGAGGACCAGCAAAGGGAATTGGGGTGCTGGCTGATGGTGGGAAAAGCCTCTGAAGCAGTGAGAAGAGATACTGGGGCTTGGCTGAGAGATCAGATGTCAAACCTTGACAAGGCAAGAAACGTCAGCGGGTAAATAGGGAAGGCAGGTGTGTGTGCGGGCCATGGGAAGGCGTTCGGAGGGCGTTGGAGTGAGCAAAGCCTTTTGCTTTGTGTCAGAGCAGTACAGCAGGTCTTGGGCTGCGACGGGAGGCCTTAAGGGATATGGTAATTAAGAAAAGTAACTAAGAACTAAGTCATAAAATGAATATGTGTTTTAGCTGCTCCATTGTGCATAGGCAGGCAGCAGGGAATGTGGGTCACGCAGTGTGAGAGGCTGAGCCAGGAATAAAATCGAGGTCTGTTAATGCCTCGGGCCTCTCCGTGCGCACCAGGCTGTGGCTCTTTCCTCCTGCACGGCTTGGGTGGGAAAGGACTTCCAGTTGAGGTGGAAGAGCAGGCTCTGCTCAGTCCAGCAGTTAATCGTGTTCTCCTGCTGTTTGCCTTTGCCAGGTGCAAGTTCTTCAGCCTCACAGAAACCCCCGAGGACTACACCATCATTGTGGACGAAGAGGGCTTCCTGGGTGAGTGTCGGCGTGTGCCGCTTTGGTATCCAGCCTGGGGTGGAAGGGGAAACACGGCATCTCTCGCTGAGACGATAAACCAGAGCGTTTGTAAAACAGGTCTGTGTGTCAGCGCTGGTAGTGCGGCTGTGAAAGGTGCTTTGATCCCACTGTCTGCTGCTGTGCTGCACAAGGCGTTTCACACATGGAATATGAATATATTGTAATGCCAAGAGAAGAGCACACGCAAGTCTTAAAGAGCATCTGAAGCCTATCTGAAAAAACAAAACCCATGCGCATATCACTGCATTAAAATGAGCTCACCTTTATCCCCAAACCTCCACGAGCGCACCACATCTTGTGTTCACCCGCCCTCTCTCTTTAAAAGGAGCACTCGAAAATGAGTAGTTTGCGTCGTCCCCGCAGCCATCACAATGCTGTGGAGCTGCGAATCGGCTCCCTTGGCTCACTGCTGAAAGCTGTGATTAATCCCCCGTTCTCACACCCAGCTCTCTCTGTACTAAATGTGCATCTTTGCCCATGGCAGCTGAAGGTCTCTCTCAGCCTGTGTCAAAGGTGGAGCGAGCTGTGTGTCAGAGAAGGTGGCTGGCATGTGCTTGAGAGCTGCAGATGCTTGGTGCTGATGGAGAGAACGGTTTGGCTTTGTGGATGGAAATAGTTTGTAATAACATTTATCATGTGGGGAGGTTTTGTTTGTAGCAGTGTTACTGAGGTGGTGGAATGAGGAAGTGTTGTGTAGCTATTATTATTTTTGTTCTATTACTGCTTTCTGTGGTTGGAATTAAAAGTCTACACATTTTACCAGTTTGGAGAAAATTCATTAAAACATGAAAAAAGAGAATTTCATTCCTGAATAGGAATTAACTGTCGAGTAGCTGCTTGTGACACTGTAATATTCAGTGGGTTTGTAATATGGAATCCCTAAGGAGAAAATTAGAAACTGTACCATCTTTGTTTAGTAAGAGTCAAAGTTTCATAATCAGTAGCATTGCTGAATTATTCCCCTTTCGTTTTTAGAAGTACTCGTAAACATAGAATAAATTATTACATTTTAGAACACTAAAATGGTGGCTAAACATTTTAATAAAATAATCACTAGGCTGAGAATAGGTGAATGGGTCTTTACAGCTACTGCTATTTGTAATTTAGGAATTGTGGGGTTTGATTGAATGTGTACGTCGTGTTCTGCTTTTGTTCCCAAAAGAAGAGGTGAGATGCGATCCTGATGCCAGAATATCCCTTGTTGCGTTTGTTCAGGAGGCACATGCACCAAAATTTTATTCCTACTATCAGTAGGATTAGCTTTTTTGTTATGGGAGGTAGCTGGAGGAAATGGATGACATTTGGTTTTGCCGTAAGAGCGGGATGCAAAGCCTCCCTTGAAGAGCTTTGTTTTAAGAGAGAAGTAACCAAAGGAGGAGAAGTTTTTTTCCAAGGGCCACAGAACATGGCAAAGCAAGAAACCCAGAGATTCCCACTCTCAGGAGCGAGTCTGCGTCACTGAACCGTGCTGTCCCTGCAGATTTGCCGTGTGGGGGTTGTGCTCATCTCCAGCATCCCATCTGTGTCTGATAATCCATGGCGCTCATTTCTCTGCCCAGCTGGCGCAAGGCAGATTCCTCAATTCAATCACTGGTGGCAGGTTTGGATTGCAACCACCCCCGTACAACCTCTAGCAGCCACGCTGCTATTTGTCTCTGGAAATTCTTCCAGCTTGACACAAGGTGAGCAGAAGCAGCGGGGGATTGCGTTGCACTGTGTGTGCCGCTGGCTGTACTTGGAGCAAATCCTGGGTCTAGCCAGAGCAGTGTCCTCGAGGAGCTGCGTGTCCCGCTGGTGCCCCGGGTTATCTCTGTGAACCAGACAGCGCTGCCGCACTTCAAAGCAGCTGTCCTCTCCGCTTGGACCCTTTTGACTTCATTACCTTGGCTCTCATACGTACATGGATTTACTGCTGGGGGTTACAGTACCCATGTAGCTTCCGTTCAGCTGTGGTTTTGGCAGCATATAACATCCCTTTTTTTCAGATACACTGTGTGCAGTTCAGGTGTTTAAAGCTGGGCTCTGCAGGAGAAAAGATCACCTTCCAGGCAATGCAGGGGAAGGAAGGAGCGTGCTAAGGCCACCCTCGGGTACGGCACGGCATGGGAGCCGGGCACAAAACCCAGCGTGCGTAGTAGTGTCATGGAGCTGGCGTCTTCATCACCTTTTCTTTGCTCTTTGCTAGTAAGTGATGATCTGCTGGCAAGACTTGTAAGTTCTGCATCCTGCTGCCTCTCGTAACACAACCCCCATGGCCTTTGTGTTTGTGTCTAGTCCATGGTCTTCTTTCCAGATTGTCACCACCGCATCCAAAGTTAGCCCTGACCGCAGTCTCCACTGCTGCTCCATCCCTGTTCCTCATTTCCATATGCCATAAGTTTCTCACAGTCTGGAAGAATTCGGGATCTGCCATCCAGGATGCCTTGTAGAGGGCTCTGCTCCACTCCCCGCTCCCCCTCACAGCCTGGCTATGAACGTCTCAGGAGGAGGAATCTCACTTTGCCTCTCTACAGCATGTAATCAGCCCAGGGATTTGAGAAAGATTAAAATCTGTAAGAACTGCAGCATTCCACCTTCTTGCAAAACAGCACCCATCATCTCTGCCTCAGGTGCACCAGCTGCTTCTTGACCTGACTAGCCAAGTGCCAGGTTCAGCTCAAGAACTACAGGATAAAGTCTCACCTTTGGCGAGTAGTTCAGGTAACAAGAAGCAAGAAGTGACTTTTTTTTTCCCCCTCTCCAGGTAACTTTTTTTCTTCCAGCGCTTAACAAACCAGACGCAAGTCTCTAAAGGACAGGCTTTTCTGTGTGGAAAATTAGGACCCTTCTTTCTCAGGCACCTATAAGAATTTTTGCTGCAACAGCAGTGAGAAGATTGTCCTGTTAGCTGGCGTCTCTCAAGTAAACCAGGCCCCCTCCTGCAAATCACAAACAACACCGAAGGGAAAAGAATAGCCTGGAGAAATACTGGCACTTTCAGCAATCCTTGAGGTTAGCACTTCAAACATACTGACGCACAGTAATCATTCTTAACTGTTTTGTCAAAAAATAATCCTCAGGCTGGTTTCCCTGAGAGTAGCAAGTGAGTGGGGCTGGTAAAGAAATCATTATTTCTCCTCCCCAGCAAACGTCTGCAGTGCAAAGCCGTAACCTGCTTAAGCATTCATCGTGCTGGAGGGGAGCGGCTACAGCCTGATTCTTTGCTTTAATTCCCCGGCGGTGCGGTGGGGATTAGATCTGCACAGAACCTTGTTTGTTCCACTGGCTGTTTCTTGGGCTTTGGCCTGTTAATGAGGAAGAATTTTATTCAGCAAATAGCACAGGGGGACAGTGCACAGAAAGCTCTTCTCCTGGCTGATACTGAGATGAATTAGCAGAAGGAGTTTGGCCGTGGGCCCTCCTGCATGAAGACAAGTGTCTCAGCTACTGGGGTGCTTGGACAGCCGTGTAAAATCCTGGCATTTATCACCTGCCGTGCAGCCAGCCTGTGGCAGAGGAGTCGAGCGGCTGCTGCTCCCTGAAATATAGGAGTACTTGTTGGAGTCTGGGTGGCTTTTTTCCTAAGGTTTGGCTGAAGGCAGGAGGTGCCTGTGCATGGTGCAGCTATGCCATAGCTCCTGTGCTCTCCAGGTAGTCTGTTCCCTTCTCAGAGGGCAGCAAGATTTCCTCCATCCCTGGGCAGCTGCACCAGCAGAGCTTTTGGCCTGTGGTCTCCTGGTCCCAGCAGTCTCCGTTCATCAGAGGTTTCAGTTTCACACGCTGGCACACGCCAGCACCCCTGCAGATAGCCGTGCTCTCAGAACCCCTGCGTGTGTGCATCAGGAAGCAGCTGCTGACGTTGCAGTCCTGCCCTGGAGATGCTCTCTGAATAAAATCGTGGGGTTTGGGGGTAGCACCGTTCCTTCAGTGGCACCCCAGCAGCTGTCGCTTCACAGCTTCTGTACCATATGTCCAGAGAGGCTTTTATTGGGGGTGAAGGTGAATTTGGGGTGTTTGGTTTGTTTTGATGGTCCCTTTTCTGTTCCTCGTTTCTCTGTGGTCCTGTCCATCCTTTTTTCTCTTGGAAGTCCACTACTAGGCTTGGCGATAGCTCTGCCTGGGTGATTTTCAGTGAGATGCCATCCAGCTAGGCTCCCGTTCTACAGCACTTCTCTAATTGCACAGCACAGTGGGAAACGAAGAACTGACACTCTCCCTCAACCACCTTCATTTGCTACAAGCCTAAGGAAGGAAGAGCCCATCCAGAGTCATCTAAATAAGTCGGTCCAATGACATGGAAGCGAGAGACGGCTACAGTTTACCCTCAGGTATTTCTTTGGGTCAGTTTCTCTCACATCCACTTGAAAGGAAGCTGGACTGTTTGAGAAGGACCTTTCCAGACCCACCACCGCTGGGACCTGGGGGCGTGCTAAGGGAAGAGGAGCTCCTCTGTGCTGCCATCCCTATGGAGAGATCCTCCCGTTGTACCTAGAAGGCAACAAGTTCTCCTTTTGGAGTTTCTGCCCTATTTATGATGGAAAGAAGAGTCTCGCTGTTCGAGACCCCTTACAGGGCAGAGGATGGAGTTTGAAGGATACTTTCTCCATGGAGGGGACAGCCCCTAGCGTGTTCCTGCCCCAGCCTAGCCTCCTCTGTGACCTTGGCAGCTGTTGAGTTGTTCCATGAGCCTCTGCATCAATGTGGTCTGTGACAGTCTGTCACCCAGGTGAACCTGTCCTGAAGATGGGAGACTGGAAAGCAACAAGTTGCTGCTGTTTTCAAGGCAAGATCACTGCGTTCCCAGCCTTGGCACTTGGTGTCCCTTGTGTGCGCTCTTTCTCTGTATGCAGTGAACTTCAGATATCAGAGAAGGGAAAAGAAATCAAATGCTGGGGTCAAGGGAGGGATGAATCCTTGTGATTTCCAAGCTGGTAAAAAAGCTTATTCCAGTTTCAAGGAAATGGAGGGTGAGTTTGGGG